GCAGGTTCCAGGCTCTGAGCTGTCAGCACAGAGCTCGATGCAGGGCTTGAACTCACGGACCGTGAGATCATGACCTGAGCTGAAGTCAGATGCTTAACTGACTGAGCCACCCAGGCGCCCCTAAATGAGCTACTTTTTTAAAAGATTTTTTTTAACGTTTATTTTTGAGACAAGGAGAGACAGAGCATGAACGGGGGGAAGGGTCAGAGAGAGAGGGAGACACAGAATCCAAAACAGGTTCCAGGCTCCGAGCTGTCAGCACAGAGCCCGATGCAGGGCTCGAACTCATGAGCGTGAGATCATGACCTGAGCCGAAGTCAGATGCTTAACCCACTGAGCCATCCAGGCAACCCCTGTAGATAACTGCACTTCATCCATTGATCTGCCGCTGAACGATTAGCTTGCTTTCGCATTTCGGCTGTTGTGAATAGCGCTGCTGTGAATGTGGGCATACAAATATCTGTGGAACAGCTGGAATTAATTTTAATAATATATTTTATTCAACACGTATCTCCAAAATGTTGTCACTTCAACATGTACTCGATATATATAAAAAAAAAATTAACGAGACATTTTACATTCTCTTTTTTGTACCAAGTCCTCAAGCTGGGTGCGTATTTTACTAATAGCACGTCTCAATTAGGAGGCGTCATAGTACAGGGGCTCAATAGCTGTGCGTGGCTGGACAGCACAGCTCTATACAAGCCCACATTGTTACTGCTCGTCGTGTTCTAGTCCAGCCTCTCGGAGATCACACCCAGTGATCATGGTCCTTTCCTCTCCCGAGTAAACAGAAGTATTTTTAAAATTTTCATGGAGAATTTTAAACACATAGGAATGTGGGCCGGAGAATAGAATGAGCCCGCCTGATCCATCAAGACGCCCCCCTCCCCCCTGCTTTGCTTTGCTCGGACGGTAGGAGTGCAGGGCCCTGTCTTCCTCCCCACTGCCATCTCGCCCTCACCAGGTGCGCAGAACTGCTCCTGAGGTTTGGGGCGAAAGTGGATGGCCGGTCTGAGGAGGAGGAGGAGACCCCTTTGCATGTGGCCGCCCGGCTGGGCCACGTGGAACTGGCGGAACTCCTTCTGAGACGGGGGGCGTGCCCGAATGCCCGGAATGTCGAAGGCTGGACCCCACTGCTGGCTGCCTGTGACATCCGCTGCACATCCTCCGCCGAGGCCGAGGCCACCACCGCCTGCTGCCTCCAGCTGTGCCACCTGCTGCTCTCGGCTGGAGCCGAGGCCGATGCTGCCGACCAGGACAAGCGCCGGCCCCTGCACCTGGCCTGCCGCCGTGGTCACGCGGCCGTCGTGGAGCTGCTCCTGTCCTGCGGTGTCAGTGCCAATGCCATGGACTATGGGGGACACACGCCCCTGCACTGCGCTCTACAGGGCCCAGCTGCGGCCTTGGCCCAGAGCCCAGAGCACGCAGTGCGAGCTCTGCTTAACCATGGTGCCGTCCGTGTCTGGCCTGGGGCCCTCCCCAAGGTATGGGGCTGGGGCCCGAGGGGAGGGCCATGATGGGGAGGGGATGAGGGGACTCAGACCTGTGTTCCCACTTGCTCTAGATGCAGCCTGACACATCTGAGCACGTGACTCAGTTCATCATCTTTCATTCATCAAGCAAGCAAAGCCCAGTAGGGGGCAAAGACAAGGACGCAGACCAGCAGGAGGGGTGTATGTGTGTGTGTCGTGTATGTGTGTGTGTGCGTGCACACACACACGTGCTCACACATGCATATACACGTGCGTGTGCATAAATGTGTATGCATGCATGTGTGTATGCACACGTGTGTGATGGAGGTGGATTGAGGGCAGGGGGCCAGATTGTCATGCATCTGAAAAGACGGGAACCAGGACTGATGTGGGCTTCAGGGAGTCCTTTCTTCATCAGGGGGGCAAGCCAATGAAAGAATCGTGCAGGAAGCTCTGCCTGGCCATGGGATCCGTTCAGTGAGACATTCTGTGCCCAGGAGAGGCTTCCCCAGAGCAGAGCGATGAGCCTGGGTCATGAGGTTCAAAGCCTCCTGACCTTTTGCAGACAGACATGGTCCCTGTTTTTGAGAGCTTAGCAGGACATGCATCACCCAGACCAGCAGCTGCTAACCTGGCACGGGAGAAAAAGCCTTTCACCGTCAATTTCCTGTCTGTATCTTATCTTATTAACATAAAATATTCCCATAGTGGGTTCAACTTGAAGATCTGTGCTACTGATGTCCTGGCAGGGGGCCCTGTCCCATGCCGTGTCGTGTCTGGAGGGGGCCATGTAATGTCACAGACGGTGCTGGGCCTGGGGCAGGGACTGCCCCCCCCCCCCCCCCACTTCTGAAGAGCCCAGTCAGAATGGATACAGAGCAGCAGGCTGTGAGCAGGTCCCCTGCCCCATCTCTGGGCTTGAACTGTCCAGCCCTGCCTGGTCCTGGACATTCCTCTGCTGGCCCTGCCTTTCCCCGTCACTCACAAACCTAGAAGCATCTGTCTAGATTCCTAAGCAAGACCAAATAATTAAACAGCCCGAGAGTTCGGCAGATTGGTCTCCCCTTTGGGAAAATACAAGAAAATCAACAATTAACACTAATTAATCTCCTATTAACACCAGATAATTAGGAGACAAGCAATTCCCTGTAATCTGACGGTGGCTCTGACAGCTAATGATTTCCCCTTCAGGGAGGGGTTGGAAGAAGGAGGCAGAGCAGCAAACAGATTTCCTGGGACCCCACTGCCCCTGTCTCTTCGCCCTGCTCTGCCCTGCCTTAAGGACCAAGGGGGTGGGCACAACCAAGTGCCCCATTCCTCCCCTCCTCTGGGCGCCTCGCCCCAGGTGATCAAAAAGTTCAGGAAGGAGTCTGCCTCCATCTCCTATGATCTTCAGTGGCCCCACACTTGCCAGAGGTCCCTGTCTCCCTGAAAGAAGTCATCTGTGATCATTGCCAGGCCCAGACAGCTCTCCAGGAGCCACTGAGTGCTCAGGAAACCTGAGCTTGTTCCTGTGGCTCAGGAAACCTGCTTGTTCCTGTGGCTATAGGGAAGTCACTGGAACTCTTTGAACGCGTGTTCCTTGCATGCAATACAGTGTCCTACCCACCAGTGATAAAAAGCTATAGGTATAGGAGACTCGCGGATAACAGGAGTGAGCATAACCCTAACCACCACCAGACACTTTCTAAAGTGTGTTGCCTGCTACGTGGGTACCTCCCAACAGTTTTCCCAACAAACTCTGAAGTAGGTGGTGACTAAGAATGCAGCCTCTGGAGCCTTACGTACTACCCGCGTGACCCTTGGCAAGTTGCTTAATCTCTCTGGGCCTCAGTTTCCTTATCTGTAAAACAAGGACAGAAGAACATGCCTGCTTCATAGGCTCAGTATGAGAACTGAGTTTCATCCATATAAAGCCCTTAACATTTTTTTTTTTTTACATTTTATTTATTTTTGAGAGGCAGAGCGTGAGTGGGGGAGGGGCAGAGAGAGAAGGAGACATAGAATCTGAAGCAGGCTCCAGGCTCTGAACTGTCACCACAGAGCCGACGTGGGGCTTGAACCCACGAGCGTGAGATCATGACCTGAACCGAAGTTGGACACTCAACCGACTGACCCACCCAGACGCTCCCATATAAAGCCCTTTAGACAGTTGGGGCACCTGGGTGGCTCAGTTGGTTAAGTGTCTAACGCTTGATTGTAGCTCAGGTCATGATCTCACAGTTCATGAGTTCGAGCCCCAATAAGTTGGGCTCTGTGTTGACAGCATGGAGCCTGCTTGGGATTCTCTCTCTCTCTCAAAATAAATAAGCTTAAAAAAAAAAAGCCCTTTAGACAGGGCCTAACCTAGAATCGGTGCTCAACACCTGTTAGCTCATGCTGTTCTAAGTTAAATAATGTGTGAAAAGCTCTGGAAAGCTGGCATCATCCCAATATAGGGAGAGAGATTCAGGCGGAACGGCCGCAGGAGGCTTCCTGGAAGGGATGGGACTTGGAGTGGGTAGGGCTTGGAAATACAGGAGGAGGGCCCAGGCATTCCAGGCAGCACAGAGACAGGAACCAGCGTGGGCTGGGAGGCCCCGCCTGAACAGCAGACAGGAGTAGCAGGTAAGAGCAGGAGAGCCAGATGTGACCAGACTGTTCTTTCCTAGATCTAAGGAGGAGGAAGTCAGAGACCTGCTCTGGGCAGATGGGATGGGGCTCCAGAGAGCACTGCCAAGATGCAGGGCAAGAAGCAGAGGGCTTCAGGTGTGTGCGGTGCTTTCTCGGGGGCCCTGCTCCCGCCACCCAGCAGCACTAGGCACATGCCGCATTCCCAGCCTGCCAGGCAGAAGGGTTTTAAAGCCCCCAATGTTACATGTAAGTGTGGGGGGGGAGACGGGTATTATGCACAGGAACGCCGCCAGAGAGATAGCACTTAGCTGTTCTCAGATTTTACAAAGGGTTTGCGGCCACTGCCTATAGCTTGAGATACGGCAGAAGACACGGAATGAATGAAACAAATGTTTCCAGATATTCCGTGCAGACCCCGGTGAGTATGATGGTGTGTGCACGTGTGTGTGTGCGCGCGCGCTCAGGCCGACTGCGGCTGTCTTTCTTTCCTTGTGGGCAGTCTCTGGCATGGGCTGCTCTCCCAGCATGGCTCACTCTTCACCCAATCAGGTCACCTCCTCAGAGAGGCTTTTCTTGACCACCCATCTAGGACAGCACTCTCCCAACCACGCTCAGTCGCCACACCTACTTATTTTTCATGGTGGCGGCTTAGCTGTAAGTGGTTATTTATGTGGTTATTGTTTTTTCCCACGGAAATAGAAGTTCCCAGCTGACAAGGACCTGTCCGTCATCCTGATGGCTGGGGCCCCAGTGCTCGGCCCATAGTGGCCCTCCGTAAATATTTACTAAACGAGGAAATGAAAGAACAAATCTGGATCCAACTGGACTCCACCACCGCTCCTTCATCAGGCCTCTCCTGGCCTTGTCCCTTCTCTCTGAAGTCCCTCCCTAATGACCTCATTTTAACTTGATCACAACTGCAAAGATCCTATTTCTAAAGAGGGGATTTCTAATGGAGATTAGGACTTCAACGTGTTGGGGGGGGGGATGGGGAGACACAACTCAACCCATGGCAGCTGTCCTATTGGGACACCAAGGGATGTCTGATCATCCCGTGCGGCCTGGCTGGGGAGCCTGCAGTGTGTGGTAACCCCAGGAGCACTGATGCGTCTCTGCCTCCTCCAGGTGCTGGAACGCTGGTGCACGTCTCCGAGGACCATTGAGGTCCTGATGAACACCTACAGCATCACGCAGCTTCCCGAGGAGGCCATGGCCCTGGTGCCTCCTGAAACTCTGCAGGTCAGATTCCAGGACCCTGAAAACACGCAGTCACTCAGCCCGGCCCCAAGAGACTCCCACCTCCTACAGGGAAGCTCTGTCGGTTCCCCCACCCTGCCCCTCAGAAACTACCAGAGACCTGCTCACATCCCAGAAGAAGAAAACCCACAGAGTGAACACCCAAAACACTTCTTCTTATAGGCTCCCGTAGACACCTTTTGGCCCCCAGCCTCCCCGCTTTAGGAGAAATGGGTGCCATTTGTCCAAGGCTGCCTCGCTGAGCCCCTCCTTCTGTCCCCAGAAGCACCACCGTTTCTACTCGTCCCTTTTCGCCTTGGTGAGACAGCCCAGATCCCTGCAGCACCTGAGCCGCTGTGCCCTCCGTGCCCACCTGGCAGCCTGCCTGCCCCACGCCCTCCCCCGCCTTCCCCTGCCACCCCGCCTGCTCCGCTACCTACAGCTGGATTTTGAGGACGTACTCTACTAGGTGAGTCCTGGGGTCTCTGGGCAGTCCCAGCCATTTAGAAGGACGGGTAGGAGGCAAGAGAAGAGTTGGGGGCAGGGCCTTGGCCAGAACCGGCCAGCCCCCTGGACCGTGTGACCTCTCTGAGTCCACGCCTCTCCTTGCAGGTGTCCACTGCCTTTTGAGAGACCTGGAAGCCGGTGCCCCAGGCCCCAGGGGGCTCAGGTCTGCCTCTCACAGCACCCCAAGCCTGGGATGGAGTTGAGCTGGTTCAGGCCGAGGTGGCCCTGTGGATGCTGTCATTCCCACCAGGGAGAGAGGCAGACAGACCATGCGGCCAGGGGATGTCTGATGGAGAGAGAGCTGGGACTCACGGCAAGTGATACACTCCTCTTGGTGGTCTCCCGAGGCATCCCTCCAGCCCGGCCAGACCCTGTATGAGCATTAAAAATCTGCAGGCCTGTGCTGTCGGGTGCTGTCTCCTGCAGGCCTTCCTCCCAGCTGGTCACTCAGGGGGCTCAGGATGGGCAGGCTTGTGGGGCCGCCCTGGATCTGCCCCATGGTGCCAGCTGTGTTATCTTCCCCCTTTCGAATCTACCAGCTGCTGAGCAGTCCCAGGCAGACTGGCCCCTCTGGTTCACGATGTGGCACAAGGGCCACCAGGCGAGATAGCGTCAGAGGGTGGGTGAGCTAACAACCTTGGGTCGGGAGGGAGAACGGCAAAGGGAGCCTTGGGGCAAGGAGGTGAGGCGGCGAGCAGGAAGGCCAGCGAGAAGGTGGGTGCAGGTGTCGGCCATCAAAGAGGGTAACCGTGGTTCAGGTGAGAGTGAAAGATTCAGGTTTGGAAAAAGCAAACAACTCTACCTACTGCCTGCCCTGTGGGTCAAGGAGGACGGGACGCACACCTGGCGCCCGCCCCTCTCTATCTGCTCCTTCCTTCGCGTTAGCTTCGCGGCAGCGGGCGCTGAGAGTCACATGTCCTGGGTTCTAGACTCAACTCTTCCATTAAGTTGTGGATCTTAAGTCTCTTCCCCTCTCTGGGCTCAAGTTGCCGCATCTGCGCAACAAGAGAGGAGAGAGCCCCTGAAGGCCTTTGCAGGGCCAGGGTTTTAAGAACCCACAGCTAGTCCCCAAGCGCAGGCAGGAAGAGAGAGTCGCCCCGTGACGCAAGCGGCCAATCAAATGCACCGTGATCCGTGACGTCAAGGGTCGCCGGACAGGTTTCCCAGGGCCCCGGAGGGCGCAGGCGCCGGCATTCACGCTTTTTCCCGCCAACTGCGGGCAGCAGGTTGCGGGGCGGGGCCTGGAGGACGCAGGCGGTGGGGGCGGGGCCGGGAGGGCGCGAGGCCGGAGAGGGCGTCGAGAGAGAAGCCGAGAGAGAAGCCCAGGAG